AACCAAAAAGCCTCTCTCCCCATGAATCCATTAGCAGACATCGATGTAGAGCAAATGCGCTCACTGGCCCTTGAGACAATCAATGTCAACTATCCTGCAGATCAATGGCTCCAAGTCTTCACTGATGGGTCATACATAGAAAGCCAAGCAAACGTTGGTGCAGGTGTCTATTCTGAACTCTTCTCTTTCTACGCAGCAGCGGGACATAATAGATCCGCTTTTGAAGGAGAAATAGAGGCTATTAGGATAGCACTATGCCGATTATGTTGCCTGGATACGAAATTCACCAAAGCGGTGATACTTTCGGACTCACAGTCAGCAATAGACTCTATTGGAAACAGAGAGCCACCCAAAACAGCTGAGATAAAGGAATGTAGAAAACTCTATGAGCTGCTGAGAGAGAAAAACAAAACAGTGGTCCTACAATGGATTCCTGGTCACTGTGGCATTAAAGGCAATGAGATTGCTGACACACTTGTCAAGAAGGGAACAACGATTTTGTAATGCACGGACCGGCCGATGTCTTTCCACACAATGAAGGCCTTAATCAGGAGAGAATTCCAGACCTCAAGGTTCAACGAACTCAAAGCTCGAACAAAGGAGAAACAGTGGACAGTGGCACTCTCCGACATACCCGACTGGCCAAGAATCGAAGCCGTTGCTGAGTTTAGACTACGTACCGGACACGATTGCTTGGCAAAACACCTTCACAGATTGGGAGTATACACTCAACCCACATGCCCTCTATGTAACCTACATGAGGAAATGGATAAGACCCACCTGATTCGATATCCAGCCCTAAAGACAATGACGGAAAGCCCGAGATACTGGGAAGCAAGAAGACTGCTAATGAACTGCTATTAATTAACTGCTATAAATGTACCCCCCCCCCTCTTGGGGGAAGCTGAAGTCAAAGATAATGGGTTAATGATAAATATCATAAAGCCTGCCATTTGAAATAAATACATAAATTTCAAAAAAGCTCTCATCTAGCAAGGCCTTATGTGATCTCACTTTTTCGAACATAATTTATTCAATTTGGAAAGAAACTGAGACAGGTGGTTTAGCCAGTTACTTATTTGTTTAGTACCACCAACAATGCTGCAAGCTCATAATACTAACTTGAAAATGAATTTTAAATTAATTTGTACTACAAATTTTGCGTAGCCAAAACCTAGAGTGCTTTATACTGCAGTGTTTTCCAAGTATCTGTGAATAACTTTCGCACATTCAGTGTAGCAGTTGAGTAGGTGGTTTTCAATAAGAAATCCTATTAATGACGGATCTATGACTATTTGTAATGCGACACCTTAATTACTCATTTTGTCATTACATATTGGTCCGATTTCTATCCATTATAACACTACTAAATGTTAAAAAACCCTTTCATTTGATAATATTCACATAACAATTTCTTCATTCATCTTGCAAAGCACTTGATGATAGGGTATTTGAAATTATTTTATTGATGAAATTTTCTTTGAGTAATCTGAATTTCGTTCTATTATCAGTGTTTAGGGTAACTGGATGAAGTGAATTTGGAAAAGTGTACGTAGTGAGATGGAAAGCGAAAAATCACAAAGTGAAGAGAATGGTAGTCGTCAGAAAAAGTGAGAAGCAAATTAGTACGTCATCAAATGAAATGATTTTAGTTTATATAAAAAATTAAATAAAATTTATTTCGATAGATCTTGAAAAATGTATTCGTTCGGAGGTGTATCTAGAGATTTCATGGTTTATTTTTAACTTTAATTATGTCAGAAATAAGAGCAAATGGAATTGATTAAATATAGGTAATGTGATCGAACACATAATTAAAATTAACAGGGTATAAGTCTATGAATTATTTTTGAAAATGCATTTAAATACGCAAAATGTATGCATCGAATAAATGAGCAATGAGAAAATCGTTTCTCTTAGGCCTAAAACAAATGGATGCACGACGGAACGTCTAGTAATGACAATTATTTTATAAATAATCAGTATTGTCAAAAAAGGTTACTAATTAAGAGATGGGTTTCGATCGACTCTGGTGGTTATCAAAACCGGCGATCAGATTTTTTAAAAATAAATTTGCATTAACTACAACTATAATTCGTCGACAATGAAATTAAAGTTAAAATCGACGATACTACAGTAACACTCAAATCTTATTTGTGGGATTATTTTAAAAAGTTTTAAAATAAAGAACAGGAAGTGTACTTTCAAGAATATTATTTCCTGGTTAGCAACGCAAGTAGTTATTAATACAAGAACTCGATATGGACATTTTCAGGGCTCAAATGCATCTTCTATTTGCAAATTTGTCAAGTAAATGACTATTCTATTTAGAACAATTTTCATCATTGACTACTTCTTTATAGTCAATTGTTTAATTTAATTTAATAAACACATCAAAATGTATGTTTTGTATGTAAGAAATATTGAATTATTTTACTAACATGATTATTATCACGTAGAGCATATATATTTGGCGAATTTACAAAGTGATGATTGTTAAAGAATATATATAATAATTGCCCAAACATTAAATGAGGCGTAATATTTCAATAAATAAAGGAAGTAATATACATTATACTGACTTGTTGGAGCTAAATTGGAATGTTTTGTTTAAGTAATCAGCGATTATTTATCTGAAGGACAAACAAGAATTTAAGGTAGATGAAATGGGGTTGAAGAGACGCAGTAAAGAAGGAAAAGGAGTCAAAGACGAATTCAATGAAAGCAAAGAAGTAAGTTGAATTGTATCACAGATTAAAGTTTAAACACTTTCATTTATGTTTACATGAAGTATTTCCCATTAATTCAACAAAACTGAAATTTATGAATTCAAATTAGCACACAAGCTGTCTGTTTCATCACATAGTTCCATCAATGCTTTATTTTGGCTTAAAAAATTGACGATGGTTTATTTGCGTGATCTATTTCGTCTTATTTCTTTTTCATATTATTTTAGGGAGAAGATGTTTCCTTTGGTGACATCACCATCGATGAATCAGAAAAAGTGCTATTCTTCCACCTGGTAATTTTTAACTAAATTTAACGAGTGAAACTAGTTTCGGTACTCCGACATAAAGGACAAAATCATGCTTATTATTGGCTTTATTCTCGCTCTGGTAGTCGGTTGCTCATTTCCTGTCAATTTGATCATTTTCAAAGAAGTGGTAAATCTCTTGACATCAGACACGAGTGTTGATTTGGCTAGAATGCGCGAAATGGTTGGATGGTTTTGTCTTTTGGGAGCTGTTACAATGGTTCTAGCTTTCATCGAAATGTTCTTCTTCAGTCTTTCTGCTAGACGACAGAGTAGACGTATTAGGCTGAAACTCTTCAAGGTAAGCAGTCTCTTAACTACTAGACCTTATAACGTCATTTGTTCGTCTTATGAAAAATCTTCTTTGTGTTTTAGCAATTGCTTCGACAAGACGTTCCTTGGTTTGATCATCAGGCACTTGGTGATATTATCACCAAACTCACTGCGGACGTGGATTCGATTGAAACTGGTATTGGTGAAAGATTGGGTCGATTCGTTCAAAATTTTGCCATGTTTATATCGTGTTATGCCAGCGCTTTCACTAATAATTGGAAAATCGCATTGGTGGGCCTTAGTTCAGCTCCCATTATTGTAATTGCTTTCACTGTCATGGGTTACACGATGAGTACCTTTGCAATGAAGGAACAAAAGGCCTACTCTAAAGCCAATAATGTTGCGAGTGAAGTTTTCAATGCGATTAAAACGGTGTTTGCATTTATTGGACAAGAGAAGGAGAAGGTTCGATACTCATCACAACTGGGCGCAGCTGCCAAGGTTTCATTCTTGAAGAATACAATGCTTGGATTTGGTATGTTGCATTGAATTCTGAACAATCATTGTTTGATTATTTTCTGTAGGGATTGGAATGATTGGAGGGTCAATTTTTGCGGCTGCTGGTCTAACGTTTTGGTTTGGTGTGAAGGAAAGTTTAGAAAATGGCAATTACATTGATAGTGGAACCATTACATCAGTAAGTCAAGCAGTTATATATCATGAATTTATTTTTAATAATATGTCTATGGGTGTCAATTGTTTCGCTAATTCTATAGGTTGTACTATCATTCCTTGTCGGCAGTATTGCACTGGGTTTGGTTCTGCCAGAATTTTCTTATTTCACTCGAGCAAAAGCTGCTGCGAAAAACACCTTCTACATTATTGAACGTGTAAGTATTGAAGCTGGAATATAGAGATGACATGGAGTAAAGAAGTTCATATGATAACCTGTGAGTCTGACTTTCAGGTTCCCGAAATCGACAAAAATGAACCGGGCCTTGAACCAGACTCCATGAAGGGTGATATCGAATTCAAAAATGTCTCCTTCGTATATCCAATGCGACCTGATGTTGTGGTGGGTATACGTTTGTTATCTATCCATCTTTTTTCATTTTAACTAAAGTGGAATAATCTTCAAGTACATCCTCATAATTTGTATCGACAAGCATATGGTCCAAAGAGCATAGTCTTGGCTAATGTTAAAGATGGCCCTTGATGGGTGAATTTATATACAGATATGTGTCTACTCTTGCTCATTGAAATCACGATAACTCAATTATAAAATGCCTGATGGCAAACTCCTGTTGACGTTACTTCAAAGTGCCGTTGGGAAGATAACTAATTTTGGCCATCTACTGTTTATTAAAACCAGAGGTCATTATCTAAGCTTAGTTTAATCTGACTCTTTTACTATTGACCTATTTAAGACCACGTTGAAGTTGATTCGCTTGACTGCTTCAAATACCATTGTTTCATTGGCGACGGTGATAAATATTACGATTGTAGACGCTGAAAAACTTCAACATGACGATTAAAGCGGGTCAAACAGTTGCCATTGTGGGTCCAAGTGGTTCAGGTAAGAGCACAGTCATTCAACTGCTTCAGCGTTTCTACGATCCAATCGAAGGTCAGGTAAGCAAACATTCAATTCCAATTAGCAGAATGCATTAGAAAAGACAATTCATTGTGTCATTTATTGAAGTTGAGCATTTTTCTGCCTTAACAATGAAGGTGATCTTGGATTAATAATAATCTAATTTCATATTAAAGCAATTATTAGTGCTGGGGATAATGATGATGTAAAGTTAAATATAGGTTACAGATTTATTAAATTAAATTGAAAATACTTCAGATTTAGATTAGTAATATAGTTATAGTTAGTAAATATATATATGCTTTCACTTAAAACGTTGTAGATAACATAATTCAGAAGTACTTCCAGCATTAATTGTCATAGCAGTGTGAATTTGAAGTTCTTTTTATTTTTATTGTTTTTTTTAAAATTTTGATACTGGGTTTTTTTCTCAAGGTGTTGATTGATGGTCATGATATACGTGAGCTGGATCTCAAATGGATGAGACGCCAGTTTGGTGTTGTTTCACAGGAACCACTTCTCTTTGCCGCAACAGTAAAAGAGAACATTGAACTTGGAAACCAGGGTGCAACTCTCGAGGAGATAGAAGAGGCAGCAAAGATGGCCGATGCTCACAATTTCATACTCAAATTGCAAGATGTAAGTTGGGGTGACGTGGGTTCCACATTTTTAAATTGGCCTTTTTTTGTGGCATAAGCATTCAGATGGTAAGCCTCGAATTGGATTTGGACATGAGTTGTTTGAAAAGAATTCTGAATGTGAAGATGGGAGAAATAAGTTTTAAAACGACCTCTTTTTTGTTTAAATCGTGTTTTATATTACCTCATAATGGTTTTAATTAGTTAGTAAAGTAAAATTACTTGGAAATAATGTTGAATGAAACTTGATCGAAATTGTGTTAATCACGAGAATTTACCTTTTAAGAGATGATATTCTGATAAAATTTGAACTGGCATGCGCATTAACAACACAACTTGCCACAATAGGCATAGTTTACAGGGAAATATTGATTTCAATTGATTTCTCTTCGGAGTAGTTGTATCTTATCACGTCCATGAGGATATGTAGGCAACGTGATTTGAATTTTGTCATAGGCTTATGATACAATGATCGGTGAGGGAGGAGGTGGTATGTCCGGAGGTCAGAAACAGCGTTTAACCATAGCTCGAGCACTACTTCGGAATCCTCGAATACTCCTCCTAGACGAAGCAACATCTGCCTTGGATACGCACTCAGAACGAGCCGTGCAATCTGCTTTAGATAAGGCTGGAGTTGGTCGGACTGTCATCATGGTTGCCCATCGTCTCACAACCGTAAGAAATGCCGATAGGATTCTTGTCGTTGATAAGGGTGAAATCAAGGAGTCGGGAACACACGATGAACTTGTACGACACAATGGAATCTATGCTCACATGCTGTCTTTGCAGGTGAGTTCCATTAATTGTGTACGATTAAAATTAATTTGGACGTATGAGGTAAATTTTAGTATGTATTTTATCTTACTAGGCCAAGAAGAAGAATGAGGAGTATTCAGATAGTGAACCTGAATCAGACAAAGATGAGGCTGAAGAAAGTACTTCGTCTAAAGCTTCAAAGTTGGCAAATGTGTGGAAAAGAACTGCTCGAGATTCGGAAAGTGAAAGCATGGCCTCCAGCAGCTCGGATGCTTCATTTCTGACTGTTGCAACACGAGTTTGTCACACAAATTTTGTTGCATTTACATCGCGATTTTAAGTGTTAAAAGTTTTTAATCTTTTTCGATGTAGAAAAACGTTCTTTTACGAGCATTTCTTCTGAACAAACCCGAATTTCCAATATTCTTCTTTGGACTATTCGTATCTCTCTTATCAGGTGTCATTCAACCTTCGTTCGCCCTACTTTACTCAGAAATGTTTAATGTGAGAAATGATTTTGTAATTGTTGCCCATATAATTGTTTAAATACTGATTTTGAGTTTTTTCGTAGTCATTTACCCTTCAAGACCCTAATGAGAGAATGAGGAGAACTGAACTTATTGCCGGTATGATGGCCCTTCTTGGCTTGTTACGCCTGTTAACACAACTTGTAGCGGTAAGAGGAGTTGTGTTAAGATTTGTCTTACATCCTACTTGGTTTGTTGGTTAAAGCCTCTTTCGAACAGAATTCGACACTGGGTTGGGCGGGGGCGAAGTTGACTCAAAGAACTAGAGGCTTGCTATTCAATGCAATGATTGAGCAGGAACCAGGATGGTTTGATGAAGTGGCGAACCAACCAGGTGTACTCACAGCTCGTTTGGCCACAGAAGTGTCGAGTTTGGAAGCTGTGACAGGTGCCCAACTGGGCACCATTATGGAGTCTGCCTGTTTGATCATCGCATCGANTGTCATTGTATTCATGTACAGCTGGCAACTTGCTCTTGTGAATTTCTGCTTCCTTCCCATAATTGTGGCGAGCAGCGCTTTGCAGGTAGTATAATGATGAGAAATCACCTCATTTTGTCAAAACTGTTTATCCACTATTTGTCTTTCTGCATTCTCTAGATGAAAAACCAGAAATCTGTGATGAACATCAGAGAAGTCGCAGGCTCGCAGGTTGTACAAGAGGCACTCACGGCTCAGAAAACTGTGTTTGCATTTGGTTTAGAGGACTACTTCTATAATAAATTTTTGGAAAAATCAGATCGTGCTACCTCGTAAGTTTATGGAAATCTGTTCGTCTCTTTTTTAGCTCTAATTATCAAATTTATTGTTTTAAATAAGTGAGCGTGTGAAGGATGCTGCCTTATATGGTCTGGTTCATGGAGCAGCCAATGGATTGAGTTACTTCCAAACGGCCGCGTCCTTTTATGTTGGTTCGGTATTACTCAACCAAGGTGTCCTCGATGTCTTATCCGTATTTCGGTAACTTGAATTCATTGTTGACCACATTAGCCCCTCGAAAGACTTGCTATTTAAACTGTTTCTTCTCTTCACTTTGAGAACCTTCTCAGCATTCAACTTTGGCGCTCAAGGTATAACACGAATAGCCGCATTAGCTCCAGAGTTCAGGAAGGCATCTAACAAGATTACCTCTGTGTTTGCGACAATGGATAGAAAGACGAAACTTGATGTTAACGAAGGTATATTCCCAGACCAACCTTTGAGTGGAAACATAGTCTTCAAGAATGTCTACTTCAAGTATCCAACACGAAAGCAAGTCAAAGTTCTCAGAGTAAGGTTCTAGGCAAAACTAATTGCACCCATTTTACCAGTTAATTGTGTTTACTATACGAGCTTTTATGACAGAATATGAAGTAATTTAATAGTAATTTGTAAAATAAAAAATAGCATTTATTTTTTATTAAAAAATTCTGTTTGAAATGAGAAAGTCCAAAATAAAATAAAAATTTTATTTTCGTAATTATGAATGTGTTGGTAGAATTTTTCTGTTTTCGAAACAATTTAACTTGATTTAGAATTAGTTGAGTTCATACTTATACGTCAGTGGTCAGTTAGTGTAATGTTACAGTGCTCTATTTCGATAGCACCTGAATGTCCCGATGAACCATCTTTCCGACAACTAAATGGCAAAATGACAGTCAAATGGAGTGTCTGCATTCGGTAAATATGAACAATGAGATCTATTATAGGTGTTATGGTATTGACATTCCACTAAGAGCATAGGGTAATTGGCAAGTGAATTACGATGGTTTTCCATGTGTGTTGACTCGAATACGTGGCGTAAGTCCCCTCCCCCCTTCTGTGACCTGTGAAGGGAGGATTTGTTTTGCCAAAACTTCATGATTTAAAAATTTGGAACTCGACTGATGTAGTTGAGCTTATTGTCGTTTCTCTTCCAGAAGTTCAACTACTCCTTGAATCCTGGCAATTCCGTAGCACTTGTGGGTGCATCTGGATGCGGAAAATCGACAATTCTTCAACTGGTTCAACGACTTTACGATGTTAGTAACCACGGTCCAAAGAGTGGGATCTTTATGAATGGACATGATATTCGGAAAGTGGCTCCCAATTGGATTCGTCAGCAAATTGGCATAGTTTCACAAGAGCCAAATCTATTTGATTTGACAATTCGTGAAAACATAGCCTACGGCGACAACTCCCGAGAAATACCAATGGAGGAAATAATGGCAGCGGCTAAGGAGGCCAATGTTCATGGATTCGTGGAGACTCTACCACAGGCAAGATTCACTTCAATTATATAAATTGGGAGATGAATGGGAGAGGTGAACAATGTTGATCCTTGGGATTGTAAAAGGTTTACAAGTGCTTCAGATCCCATTGGAAAAGCTTCAAACTCTACTGCTTGAAGGGGTTGACGTGAGAGGAGTAGACATGCTTATATTTGTCACTAACACGGGAAGTTCACACATTCCACGGACTGATGAAACAATGAGTTTGAGTGGCGAAGGTGGGGAACACCCTGCAGGTTCAAAAGGTGGGAACAAATCTACTGATTAGGCAATAAGTGGTTTTGGAAATCACAACTTCTTGGAATATTTGATAAGNAATTCTTCCTTGTACGATTTGGCAATAGGGTTATGAAACACCTGTGGGTGCTAGAGGATCCCAATTGTCAGGTGGTCAAAAACAAAGAATTGCAATCGCTCGTGCTCTAGTTCGGAAACCGACCTTACTTCTACTCGATGAGGCCACGTCTGCTCTGGATAACGAATCGGAGAGAGTAGTCCAAGCTGCATTGGACGAGGCAATGGCAAAGGGTGGTCGAACATCCCTCGTAGTGGCCCATCGTCTAACAACAGTTGAGAATTGTGATGTTATTGTGGTGCTTCAAGAAGGTCAAGAGTGTGAGATTGGTTCGCCGGAAGGTTTGATGGCTATGAAAGGCCTCTACTACCAGTTGCATAATGTAGACGCTGCTGTGAAGACGCATTAAATCAATTGGGGTTGTGGTTCCAGATGATAATTCTAATGAACTCGATAAGTGGCATTGTGGAAACTTATTTTATCTATGTCTGACACTATCTTATACTTATTTTGATGTGAATAATCTTTGCTCCTAATTGTCTACTTTTGCAGTCTATTACAAACAAAATGGGGCTGGTAACTATGCGATTTCTTAGATTAAAACATTGGCAAGACAATTAAATTGGAATTCTGTCAAAGAGGTTTGGTCAAAATGTCCACTTTTGGAGTCTTTTACAATCCAAATCCGACCTTGGTGTTTTTGTAAAGATTAGCCGAAAACAATTGGTGACCTCTCCCTGAGATGTGTCTGTGGGCTGAATCCTGTTGACACTGTTTACATGACCAATTATTAGCCCCCGAAGTTCGTCATCTACGGCTTAACTACTACAGTGGTGAGTAGATTTGCGTAGGTGAATAAATTAAACATGGGCCCCTTTTGACACGAGTATTTGGGGTGGGTGTGAAGGGGGTGGGGAAGGTGGGGGAAAGGAGATGCGGCCCCATCACCCTGACAGTTTCTTGTAAATTTGGCGTGTATGCCTCGAGACGTGCTCTTTGTCTCCTGTGATATTCAAGCTGCGTCCTCTTGTGCAATCTTGTGACATTCATCCGTGGGACTAGAAACAGATTGGTGTACTGCAGCAGGATATATCACCTTTGTAGTGAGCTTGAATGAGCGCAAGTTTCAATGTGGAGATTGAAACATTCGATAAAACTAGGAACGAATGGAATATATACACACACACACATATATATATATATATATATACATATTACAACAGACGTTTGAAATAAAACGTACTAAACAATTTCCATCGAATCAATCCACTGCATTGAGATTCATCAGTTCGTTCCGATGTCTATTTCCTTTTGATGAGCGTCCAGAGTCACCATAATGCATTTTATGTCCTTCCATGATACATTTGGGATGCAATCGACATCCATTGTCTGTGTCATCACGAGTATGGTCGGTGAAGGTTTCGAACTTTCAAAGGCAGTATAGTGTGTGCGAACACCTCTAGCACTCTTCCACTGAGCGAATTCAAAACCACTCTAACGAGTTTTCTAAACTCTGAACAATGGAACTCAGGAGTAATGAGAATGAGCTACAAATCATCCTGATATTATACGACATCAAATTCATAATTTAGAATTAAATGGACTTTTTATTTTGTCTCTAAAATTCACGATTTCTCATTGGCACCTCTAATGTTCCATCTCACGTATCCTCTCGAAACATCAATGTGGTTTATTATAATGCAGGATTTTTATTTTCCTTTCAATCTTATAGCTTTTTTCTTTTTTATTTTGAATATGATTAATCATTTGTTTGCCTTATTTTTTCATTTTATACTGCCAAACCTTGTTTAAAGACACAATCAATATCACTTTGAAATAAGTAACGCTGAGCACAGAGATGCACCCCGATCATATGTTTGATTACTCTTCAAGTATTACTCATGGTACTTGATTATTTGATGCGAAGTTTAAATGTTTTTGCAATGATTTACAAGATGGCTTAGATAAGTATTCTGAACCCTATGTCTAACAAGATTTTAAGACAGTTTTGGTGGACCTTATTTCTGAATACACTATTGAAAATAATGTGTCACGAATTGATAGATGGAAAAGAGCGAAGGTAACGTAAAGTCGAATCGGCTTTCTTTATCGGTTTCGTGCATCACAGCCTCTTGATGTGATTAATGCGTGGCAGTAGGGAGTCGCCAATACCATTCAAATATTGCGCTTACGACAGTTGCCAAGCCTAAAGCAATTAACGACTCGGCAGCGCATAAAGAATTCTCATTTTTGCAAAAATAATTATCAGTTCGGTTTTTGTCAAGCAAAATGCTAACGTTTTTAATGTTTGCCTCCAAATTTTCAATTTCTACCGTAGGTGAATATTGATTATCGATTTTTACCACCTTTTTTTCTCAATGAGCCATTTTTTGATAATCAAAATGTACCATCAAGTTTATAGAATGAACGTTTACTCGGGCCATCTTATTAGAGCAGAGCAAAGCAAGGTACGCCAGGTAGCAAGCTTGACAGCTGGCAGGAGAAGTATTTGAAAAGGGTATGAGAAGTATAGATAATGTGTATTTATTGCCCACTGTAACAGAGTGGATCATTAAGGTGGCATAAAGAATCAGATTGGAATTAAATGAAGTGGGTGGAAAAATTTTAGACGAAATCTGGCTAAAACTGGCATAAGAATAGTTACGTAGAGAGAGGACCATTCACCCTTAACTTCCACAACACCCGTTTTGCAACCGTCAGTAGTTAAAATAACTATAATGAAAACATTATTTATGAATGACAACTTTTGAGCTGATGAGTGAAATAACAGGGGCTATTGATCTGGAGATTGAATACATATCCTTTTCAGTCATTGATATGAATGATGAAAAAAAATATAATTGAATTAGGGTTTTGAATAAAATTTTAACCCGCACCGAGTGCGATAAGTGCTTTGACAGTTGGCGACAGAACTTAATTAGATTTAAATGGGAGCATAAGTACTGGAAAGCAGGTGTTTAACTGAAGTTAAATCTCTCAATGCAATAGATATCGGAATAGTTATAGAATAAAATGATCGATTAGTTAATGATCTCCGCGACGTCTTTCGAACATGGCAAATGCCCTTATCTCACCTCTCTATTAATATTTACCACAATCCACATAACCTAAACGTATCATAGATATTCGCCAAGAGCTTACCGGTGCACTACGCTAAAAATGACTTAAATAGCATGGTTCCCACCCCACATCATTTTTGAATTGTCCATAGTCACGACTACTTCACACTTTGAGATTATGCTTTGGGTTTGGATGCATGAATTCAAATGTAATCTTTAACCATCAGCTCCAGGACGTAGCTGTGAATCCTTTTCTAATTATTTGAGATCCAGGCTCCTATTTAATCCAGACCCTCATTTATGATGTTAATGCAATCAGAATTCCTTCAAGCGATATTTGCTGGCCTTTCCTCCTGATTGGCTTTTGTCAGAAGATACGCCACGTTAAAGAGACCTACACTTTGCAGCAGTTGGACACGACCAAACGTTCCTTACGAATTGAACTTTATAGAGTTGGAGCACAGACATGCTCTCACTGGTCACAATTGTAAACTGGGCTCATTGACTCGTGTGGTTGACTGGGTAACTATTGGTGTAGGTGGCTGTCAGAAATCGCCTCCATTCAGGTTTGTAGATCACGCAAACAAGACCCGTCATTGAATGAGGGTTTAGTCATTTGCTGAGCAAGATTAAACGATAAATACAAATATATAAGTTCTCAAAGAATATTTTCATATTTACCGAATCACTGGACACCCGTGCAGAAAGTATTTCAATCAGCAGTAAACAGCGTAGCTATTTTCCCTTCCTTAAAATCCCCACTCATTGTTATTTAGAGATTCAGCTTGACTAAAACACACGTTTGGGCATTTAAGCCGCATATAAATGGAAAATAGAGAAATAATGAGAGCGCAACTCTAAATCATATTTATTTATTTATTTGTATCAAATGGCAGGCGTTTTGATAGTTATCATTAGCCCTTTAGTTGACTTCAGTCTTCACAGAAGGGAAAGAACGTTAAAGTGAAAAAAGTCGAGAATTGGAGAGGTAAAGGACAGAAGAGTGTTTCAAATACGAAGGTGGAAAAGGTAGAAAAAAGGTGAGGTGAGTACTGCGGAATTGGTGAAACATGACATACAGCGGGGTCATAGTAGTTTGAAATCAGAAGTCAACTGCCGGTTTATAAGACTTTTGCCATATGAGTATACGTTGCCCAGGTGCACCACGTGGAGGTAAGTCAATCGCTCACACAATTCTGAAGAATATTGACCATGGACAGATCCAATGGTAAAAATGCATAAAAAATAACAATTTCAAGAATAAATGTGCTTTTGGCACTAAGTGTTCGAACAATTACTTCGATGGGGTTTTATTTAAGAGTAGTGTTGCTTATTGAGAACTGAATAATAATGATAATAATCCACCTTTAGTAGAAACAAATGACTGAACTTGTACTGGACAGCTGAACGAATAAGTAATGGATAAACCTCAGTGATCTCCCTAGTTAAAATAACTAGAGTAGAAGGGCTCCAGAATGAGCTAAGCTATCTCAATGATAGAGAAGTAGAAATATGGGGAGTATAGAGTTTTTTAAACTTATGTTTACAGCAAACAGGAATCATTTTATTTTATTTATTTATTTCAAATGGCAGGCGTCTTGATGGCTATCATTGGCCCTTTAATTGACTTCGGGCTTCATAGGGGGAAGGTTCATCAAAGTAGCAGAAAGTCGAGGGGTGGGGAACAGAAGAGCGATTCACAGATGTAAAAGAGGCAGACAGACACAAAGGCAGAGAAAAAGGCAAGATGAGTACTGTGGAAGCGGTCGAATATGACAAGCAGTCGTGCCATGGTATTTTGAAGTCAGAAGTCAACTGCCGGTTAATAGACTTTTTTGCCTTATGAGTATACGTTGCCCAGGTTGTACCACGTGGAGGTAAGTCTATCGCACACCCCGCAAACAGGAATCATACTTGAATATATCTAACATGATTTGAATAATTATTAATGTTTGATTATCTGAGATTAAATCAAATGTCAAATAAAACGTTCTCGACGGCGAAAGCTAAAACAGCTCTGAGTCGGTATTTGAAAATAGCCTGACTTTTTTATGAATACACGATTTCTGAAGACGAGTCCGACTTGTTAAACAGCATTGATTAATACTGCCTATTGTCAGTCCTGTTTTCTATATGCATTTCCAGTACTGTGTGTGATACATTGCTTAAAATTATATAATTATATAATGTCTTGAATTATCCCTAAAACGTTACTATTAATTGTTTAAAAAATTTAAATTTCTTCATTTTAACCGTGAAATGGTTGGCTATGACATATTCGTACTATTCAATACTGACCTAAATTGAAATTACATATTTGTCCGGTTACAGGTTATTGTTTAGAAATTATTCGAATTAAAGGAGCCTGGAGCAGAAGAATGATTATCAGAGCCATTTAGATACTTGAAAAATTGTAAGAAGAGAGGAGAATGAAGATTTTTGTATTAGACTTTCGAAGCATAAATATTAGTGTCCTAACAGTTAATTGAAACTGATTTTCATGCAATGCTGAAAAATAATATAGAAGTAATTAACTGCATTTCTAGTCACTAAAACTGAATTTTCTTTTCTTTTCATAGAAGTGTTGTTTGATTTTAAAGCCGTAGGCTTTATTATCTTTTTAATGATCTTGACACTATTTTCATTAAAGTCGAGAAATAAGTATATCCTACAAAATTCAATTAAATTTCTTGTTAAAAAAAGTATTTTTTTATTTTTAAAAGTAGAACGTAAGTTTAAAAGGTTCTTATTTTTGTTTGTTTCAGCCTACAAATAGTTTGCATCAGCCAGAGTGTTTATATACTGAAGGACAGTGCCTCAGTTCACTTATTCAAATATAGAGTTGTGCTGAGCAATGGGTTTAAAGAACACGGATTCATCGCAGAAATTCAATTATGGTGATAATTCAGATGAGTATGAATATGGGGAAAGTTTTGATTTAGATGATTTGTAAGTTATATTTTTTATAATTTTATTTTCTATTTAGATTTATGGAAGACGAGGAGATGAAAAAATTGAACTATTTCCAATTGGTAATTACATTATTTTAAGTTAATCTTCATTATTTAGTTCCGTTATTCAAAACCGATTGAAATAGCTATGTTTGCCTTTGGAATTCTCTGCAGTGCTGGCTTGGGAGCTCTTTTCCCGCTTAGTATGTCTTTGTTCGCTGACATGGTCGACAAACTTATTCTGAATTTTTTTAACGCTGCTAATCTCATCGAAGAACAAATTTCGCTCTTCGTCTACCTTGCTATATCTTCTCTTGTCCTGGGTTTTATTCAAATGTATTTCTTGACATTGTCTTCGAAGCGCCAAGCAAGACGCATTCGACTGCTCTTTTTCGACGTAACTAACAAATATTCCGAAGTTTATGATTAAATTTGTAAAGTTATAATCTATTTGAACCTTGATTTTATTTAGAGTATGATCCGACAAGATGCTGGATGGATGGACTCCAATGCCTCTGGAAGCTTAATAAGCTTAATATCAAGTAGTCTGCCCGAGATCCAAGGCGGTATTGGAAACAGAGTAGGAAGCTTCGTAAGAGATGCTGTTCTCTTCCTTGGTTGTATCATCATGGCTTTTGCGAAGGGATGGAAACTTGCATTGGCAGCAACACTTTTCCTCCCTTTTGTTGGATCTTCATTCGGTTTACTCGCATTTGCACTCAAGTATTTCAACAATAAGGAAATCAAAGCCTACAGCCAAGCTGGAGGTATAGCTGGTGAAGTGCTCTCTGCCATTCGCACAGTATTTGCCTATGGCGGTCAAGGAAAAACATATCATCGGTATGCAGGAGAACTCCACAAAGCAGAACGCACTGGTATTCGCAAAGGCATGGCAATTGGAGCTGGCAATGGTTTTGTTAGCCTTTCAATCTTCTCTGCCGCCGCTCTCCTGCTTTGGTTCGGGATAACTCTTGTCCGAACTGAAAGATTTAGCAACGGCACGGTTATTCTGGTAAATATCACAGTCTCTCTTTAAGATAAACAAAAGTTATCAGACTTTTTTAATGAAGTTTTATTCCTACAGGTTGTCGTCAGCATAATCATTTCAAGTATTGCTGTCGGCAAAGCTTTGCCAGAAATTGAAGCTCTAGCAAGAGCAGTAACAGCAGCTGGGAAAGTGTACATGATCATCGATCGTGTTCCAGCCATCGATATCGACCAAGCCGGTGAGGTAATTGAAGATTTTCAGGGAAAAATCGAGTTCAAAAATGTCGACTTTACCTATCCAAGCCGGCCTGATGTTCCCGTGAGCTAGATAACATAATTTCTATCATTTTTCATGGCAAATAGCATAAATTTAACAATGCTTTATTTAATTTAGATTTTGAAGAACTTCAATCTCACAATTGAAGCTGGCCAGAAAATAGCTATTGTGGGATTTAGCGGTTCAGGAAAAAGTACAGCTATACATCTTATTCAAAGACTCTACGAGGCGACTTCAGGAAGTGTATTTATAGATGGAATTCCTATTCAAGAGCTTGATGTAAACTGGTTGAGAAGTAGAATTGGAACAGTGTCACAAGAAGCAACTCTATTCACCGGTACAATCGCCGACAATATACAAATGGGGAACCTTGAGGCATCTATGAGCGAGATTATTGAAGCCGCAGAGCTTTCGGAAGCCGATGAATTTATTAGCAGACTGCCTGAAGTAAGTGATGTCTCAATTTTTAAATTGATCCTTTTTAAACCCCTGTTAACCATTTTCATTCACTTGAAGGGCTATAACACATGGTTGAATGAAGGTGGAGCAAAATTATCTGGGGGTCAGCGTCAAAGACTCGCAATTGCTCGAGCTCTTGTTCGGAATCCAAAAATCCTTCTACTAGATGAAGCGACATCAGCACTTGATACCAGGACAGAGAAATCCGTTCAACGTTCTCTCGATCAGGCAGGTTGCGGTAGGACAGTGCTCATGGTTGCCCATCGTCTTACAACGGTGAGAGAAGCCGATCTTATTGTTGTCATGAAGGATGGTGTAATAATTGAACAGGGAAAACATGATGAACTCCGTGATCGAAAGGGACAGTACTATAAAATGCTTCAAGCTCAAGGTCTCTTGAAGGAAGAAACTGCGAAGACTGAAGAAGCTGCTGCAAGTTTAGCTGATCTGGAAAAAATGGGAGTCAAATTTTTCACTGATAAACGAGATGAGGTGAGACTTTCTCTATTACAACCCTTTTCCATTCCTATTCCTGTCCAGATTCAACTATTTACTTTATTTTAGTACAATGATTTTCCTGAGAAGTCAGTATCAGAAAGTGAAGTCGACGAAGAGGAGGTCAAAACAAAACTTTTTAAAAGAAAGGTAATATTTAATTCCCAACATACAACTATATCTTTAATTAAATCTCAAATTAACTTATTCACTTTTAGTATCCAATGCTGCAAGCCCTTAGGCTAAACAGACCCGAATATCCCTACCTCTTCCTTGGTTTACTAATGGCTATTGCCGTAAGCATTATTGAAGCCATTTTCGCTTTGGTCTACTCAGATATGTTTGATGTAAGTAATTCGCACTTAATTTCAACTGCTTCTTTTAATCAGATTATTAGATTATCTACTTCATTTGTGCTATTTTTTAGCTTGCTTTGATGGTATTCACTCCCAATAAGATGCAAAGGAAAGCCAACACCCTCGCTACTACAATGATCGTGCTGGGGGTACTTCGAATGGTTGCTACGTTCATTCAAGTAAATTTTTTTACTGAGGCTTAATTAAAACAAATGAAACATTGAGAAAAAAATAGTGGAAATATATTAACTACTGCTGAAATTATATGCATTTAATTGAATAGGACTATTTTGTTAATAATTGGCGTGTACTTAACAGAAATTTATGACAAAAATAAACATTTATTTTATTTTTAGCGAACAATGCTTGGTATCTCCGGAGAAAGATTAACAAGACGAGTTCGAGGAATGTTATTCAAGAGCATTTTGAAACAGGTAACTGTCAAAGCCAATTAAAAAAAACGCAAAAATAACAAGATTTTAGGGTGGCATCATATTGAACCACTCGTGTGGTATGTGGTGTCAATAGGGCTTTTATAAGATACGACAAAATATTGGAGGCAATCTGAGTTTTATCCTCGTTTTCTCTTTTTTTTCTTCTGTAGGAAATGGCATGGTTTGACAAACATGAAAATCAACCTGGCGTATTGACAGCTCGATTGGCTGCTGATGCTCCCTCTTTGGAGAAAATTTCCGGCACCCAGTTGGGAGTCATGCTTGAAGCCACTTGTCTTGTCATTGTCTCTCTTGCCATCGCTTGCACATATAGCTGGCAACTGACTCTAGTCAATCTGGCCTTCTTTCCTTTTCTTGTTCTTGCCAGCATCCTACAGGTATTACTTTAAAATTAGCGTAAAAAATAATTAACCAAAAGCTAAAAACACAACTTAGAAACCCCAGTTTAAGTTGCCAATTTATTATTTCAGGCAAAGCGAAAATGCTATGTTGTTTTTTTTCTGCTAATTACTTTCGATTTTAATGCTAATTGAACAGGGGGTATTGAGTGGGACCCATTACATAGGGGTTAAAAGACTCATGGTTTAATGGAAAATTTGCCCCCCTCCTCTCCATTGAGTAATCGTTTCATCATCGTACATATCCTCTTAAATGTTTGCTTCATTACTTTCTCTTCTTTATTATTCCCCTACCCAGCTTAAAGACCTGTCCTCATCGGAACGCAAGAAACACATGGCGGGTGTTAGTATCGCCCAAGAGGCCATCAACGCCCATCGGGTCCTTACAAGTTTCGGCCTCGAGAATTATTACAGTCAACTCTTCTTGGAGAAATGCGGACAAAAGATTCCGTAAGTTTAGAATTCAACCTCTGCTAAGGTACTCATCATGACAACCACACCCACACACAGTTGTCAAGTTGACTTCTTTTCCATAGCCTACTTGTCAATTACGTCACTAATAATAAGGCCATCACTGGAGCTCATATCGCACCATTTTTTCAAGGTTATGAGCACAGGTTGACTTCACTACTAGTGGAATCGCGCGTTCCACTAGGTGCCAATGCATTTGCCTACCGTTGTTGACATTGTTACGCACACTCCTCGTAACTGCATATCGCTACTGAAGGAATTTAAATAAACCTCTTCCAACCTTAATTACAAATGCTTTTCCCCGAAAAGCAAACATAATAGTATAATTTATTTTAAGACATAACATTTTAGGGCGGGTTAAATGTGAAGGTCAAAGTTCCACAAATCGATTGAAGCTTTCTCTTTTATGTAGTGTAGGGAGATTGCTCTTTATCCGATGAGCTCGATCAGGATGGTAATGATTATTACTCTAAGTGAAATTGAGCATCACAACTTACATATTGCTCAACCTGGATTCTTTCTATTCCCGAAAATAAAGCAAATTTAGCATTTCAATGGTGCTTTTCTCCTGTTCATTAAGATTTAGCCTGATTCTTCTACTAATATATAAATAAATGTCAGTTTTATTAAGTTTCCCTCTTAACTATTTCCTCCCTGCCTTTACAGATATATTGACCTGCCGAATCTCTTCTTCTCATTGGTCAGCACTGTTGCTCAATCTATGCAGTACTTCCAAATGGCTGCCTCTTTTAAGGTTGGAGCTATTCTTCTACGACAACGTGAAATTGGAGTATTCACGGTCTTTCGGTGAGTTGTCGGAAGTCACTCTTAGATAAAAATGCTTGAACGTTTCGTTTTTATTACGCGAAAATTTTTCTTTCTTTAGAGTGTTCACATTGATTAGTTTCTCCGCTCAGGGTGTTGGCCGAGCAGCCTCTTTCTTGCCTGATTTGAAGAGTGCCAACGCTGGTGCTAGACAGATTATGAGCCTTATTGAACGACCCAGTGAAATGGAAGTAGAAAGTGGTGACCATCCATCTGAACCCTTCTCAGGAAAGATCGAATTTAAGGGAGTCTCCTTCGCCTATCCTGATAGAAAATATGTAAAAGTATTGGAAGGTTTCGATCATACTGTCGAGCCGGGTACTTCTGTGGCGCTAGTTGGTCAATCTGGTTGCGGCAAATCAACTATCCTTCAGCTCATCGAACGCTTCTACGATGCCGATAATTCAGAGAAAACGGGAGAAGGTGTCTTTATGGATGGAAAGAATGTCAAAATGATCGCACCCGAATGGATTCGAAGACAAATCGGTGTCGTTCTTCAGAATTCCGATCTCTTTGATATTTCAATTAAAGAAAATATAGCCTTCGGTGATTGCTCCCGGGAGGTTTCTATGAGTGAAGTTATCGAAGCGGCTCAGATAGCAAATATTCATGACTTTATTACCAGTTTGCCGTTGGTAAGTTTTCCATTCTCACTCAAGTAAAAGAAAAGAGTTTTCCAGTTACTTAATCCAATTGTTTCATTTTAGGGTTATGATACGCGAGTGGGAATTCAAGGATCACAGCTCTCTGGTGGTCAAAGACAGAGAATCGCGATTGCCAGAGCTCTGATCAGAAAACCCGCTTTGCTATTGCTGGATGAAGCAACATCCGCGTTGGATGCAGAAAATGAACGTGATGTACAGCAGGCTCTTTCTGAGACAATTTCAAAAGCGAAGATGACTTGTGTAGTTGTTGCTCACCGTCTATCAACTGTAGAAGCATGCCACACCGTCGTGGTGATAGACAGAGGACAAAAGATTGAATGTGGACCTCCGAAAGCACTTCTCCAGGGCCGTGGAGCTTTCTACGCCCTTCATAGTGCATCCAATTGAACATAGGAATCCGTTTATTTCTGTCCTATACCATTGCTCAGCCCTCGTTATTCAATGAAAATACCAAACTCTTTATGGTCTCACTTATTTTGATGCATTTTATCTCAAATAAAAACGGGCGCACTATCAAGGCGCCGTATTTTTACAATAAAGAAATATCCACTTCTTCCTGATTTAATATTTATTTATATTGAAAAATATTACCACAAAATAAAAGTTAAAAGATAATTTCAATAAATGTCTGTTTTGTTATTCAGGTGAATGCCGCGTCAGTAAACAACTGTTGTATAATTACTAAATAGGTGTAAATTAAAATCATGATAGTTTAAATGAGGCGCAAAATTTCGAATAGGTGCCTGCTTTGGACACCAAGAAGAAAAACATTAATGCAGATGGCATAACCAATCATTCCATGAACAATATTAGTAGAAATTTAGCAGGAAACGGTATTTCAAATAAATGCAACTTCTATTTGTATCAAGTGGCCGGCCTATTAGTTGACTTATGGCTTCCCAGTATCTCTGAGCTTCTACAACATTATAAACCACAAGGAAAAGACTTATTCAATGCACCCAAGTTTTCAGACTTCACTATCTTTTCGGTTTTTATTCTACCCTATTCGCACCCTCTGCCGGGCGTAATAATAATGACACAGATGGGGAAAAATCGATTAACTCAATCAAAGACAATCAATTTATTTTTAACAATCATTGAATCAATTGGAACGTTGTTTATAAATTTCAAGCATTTAGCTAGACCTTTATCAGCGCGCGAAAAAGGACTATTGAGGTGGCACAGCACTAGTAAAATTTCACAGAGAGGTTATTCTATAATTGATAAATGTGATTAATGTTTAAAATTCACAGAAAACAAATGAATGGCAAGTTTTTTTCAAATGAAATATTTAATAATGTATTGCATAATACAATTTTTTTCACTAAAAACCGTTCACAAAAATTAGCGGTGAACTTCCAAAGGAGAGAGATAGCAGTGAGCATAATTTCTAAAAAGAAGTGTTTAACACGTGACCTTTCATTATCAAATGAGTTGTGAAAGGCACCTCCTTGAATTTTGAGGTCTGGCATGCAAGTAATGTCCGGAACGCTAAGCCTCCTTTTCCATTTTAAAATTGGGCCAGATCTTTTTTAAGCAGTATAAAAATCAAGTCCTTTAACGATTGCTAAATTCCATCAATTTAGTGTTATCTTGAAACAACGAAAATATATATTAGGTTGGCAACAAGGTCATTGCCGATTTCAAATAAGAAGGCAAATTCGGAATTTTTGTTTAAAAATATGACTTTATTCAATTAGATACTGGCTGTTCTTGTCGATGACCTTTTGCCATCGTTCTGGCAGAGTAAAAATTCCCCCTTCGTAAAATGTCTGGTCTTTGCTACTAAAAAACTGAATTAGGTGTGATCCGACATCATCCGCGTTGTTAAACATTTTACCATTTAAAGAGTTTTGCATGGAACGAAACAAATGCTAATCCGAAGGCGCAAGGTCAGGGCTATATGATGGGTGTGACAAAACAACCCAACCCAGTTCCAATAATTTTGCCGAATAACCAAAGATGTGTGGGGCCTTGCGTTATCATGATGGAAAACAACACCCTTCCGATTTGATAATGCCGGCCGCTTATCTTCAATTGCATCCTTCAGTTTTTCGAGTTCTTCAACATACACATTTGAATTTATCGTTTGGTCCTGCGGCATGAGTTCAAAATACAAAATTCCTTTGTGATCCCACCACACTGACAGCATAATCTTTTTTGGTGAATCTCTGCTGCTTTTGATACTGTTTGGGCTGGTTGATCTTGCTTCACCCATGATCTCTTGCGAGTAACATTGTTATAAACTATCCACTTTTCGTCGCCAGTAACTAGGTTCTTCAGAAATGGATCATTCTCATTGCGTTCAGTAGCGGCGTATCACAGATGCTAATCCGTTGCGTCAAATGAATTTCCTTTAACTGGTGAGGGATCCATAAATCAAGTTTCTTGACATAACCAAGGGTTTTTCATTTTTTTTTCAATGCATGTATGCGACACATTGAGCTTCTCTGCAATATCTCGTGTTGTGCTGTGACGATTTGAATCGATAATGGCCTTGAAATGGGTTTCATCCACTTCGACTGTGCTGCCAGATCGTTGTGAATTTTTCAGTGAAAAATCACCGCAACGAAATCTTTCAAACCAATTTCGACACTGCCTTTCTTTTAAGGCTTCATCTCCATATACGGCACATAACTTCTTTTGTGCTTGCGATGCGTTCTTGCCTTTTCGGAATACAATAAAATGTGTCGGAAGTGCACGTCCTGTTCTTTCATTTTTAAATTGGGATAAAAACAAAACTAAAAAACTAAGCAAAAAAATTTTTTACAGATTAATCTAGAAGCCCATACAGTAAGAAAAAAATATAGGTTAGATGCTCTGGCCACGTTAACAAAACAAAAGAAAGTATAGAGTGACCTAGAAGCCCATACAGTAAGAAAAAATATAGGTTAGATGTCTAGAAGCCCATACAGTAAGAAAAAAATAAAGGTTAGATGATGGCCACGTTAACAAAACAAAAGAAAGTAGAGTGAATCTGTTAGAGTGAATCTGTCTAACAAAACAAAAGAAAGTATAGAGTGAATCTGTCAACAAGGCCAACCCAATGGTTGCAAGTTTAGACTGTACCCTCAATTATATCTTTAGTTTAGGTGTTTTTTATCATAATTTTGAACTATATACTTGTACGAGAATTGTAATTGAGTGAGTACGATACAAATAGGTGAAGTCATATTTCGTATATTTATGGTATTTAATCTTCCAAATTGAAAGCATTTATTTAATTATATTAAATGACAGGCGTTTTGATAGCTATCATTAGACCTTTAGTTGACTTCAATCTTCACGGAGGAGAAGGAACATCAAAGTGGAAAAAGTCGAGAGTGGGGAGGGGGGAACAGAAGAGTGATACAAAGATGAAAAAGTGACAGACACAAAGGTAGAAAAAAGGTGAGGTGAGTACTGTGAAAGTAGTCGAATATGACATGCAGTGGGGTGATGGCAGTTTGAAGTGAGAAGCCAACTGCGGTTCATTGACTTTTTTGTCGTATGGAAACGTTGTCAGGGTGTATCACGTGGAGCTAAATCTATCGCACACTCCAAAAAACTGAAGACGTTGAAACTGCTGTATTTAATGGGTCAAGCATTCATGCAATGTTTCTGCTACCTTCAGAGTTTTGTCAAATTAAAGGCTTTGCAAAAAAGATGTCAAAAAATCATACGACTCACCACCAGCGCTTAGAGGGTTCAGCCACTTGTCTGGGTTAATGGCACCATTGTCAGGCAGTTATAATTAAATAGAAATCATCTCCTCTGTAAATAAAAATATTTAGTCATCATTCTTCTCAACACCTACGCATAAATATATCACATCTATACTTCGATCGTAATAACTTATAAGTACTTCATTTACATTGTCATCGTTTGTCTTCATATTTATAACTCTATAGTCAAAGTGCTTTAGTTTTTCTTGAAATAATTATTGTATTATGGTGGGCAAAGTAGATATGTTGTATACTGTGTGCTCGAAAAGTTTTGCAGCTCATGAAAGAGAAAAATACCGTCTTCATTACACAATGAATGATTCCGATGAGAGAAGAAGGAGAAGATGAAGTGGGATAGAAGAGGCTTGATGCATCAAATCCTTAGCCTTTCGGCTACTTTGTTGTGCTTGTTGTATTATGATTGCGAATTATTTTCAATGAATCATCCTCGAATTCCCGATAAGAGTATTCGTAAATTGACCAGTGGGCCAATTAACGCTTAGAAGCTTTGTTTGAGGAAGGAATGAAAGATGAACTACGAATATGCATATTTTTTCTACAATAGCGAACTTCAGTAGCTCATTTTGGTTTCAGAATAAAGACCCACCTACTAGTAGCACTCAATTTCATTATTTGTCAAAATGACCATCTTTAAGCAGTGCCATAATATGGAGTAGGTTGGAAAGTACCGTTAACATCAATCGCATTTATATGTTTCCCTTCTTGAATGCACAAGTTTAGGTAAAAAAGCTCGTAATTATATGGAAAAATGGAGTCTATCTTGTTGATGATGCTTTAGGATTGCATAAAATTATGGCACATTTCCTCTTTATTCATTGTAATTTCATTGAAAATTTTGATGAAGTTTGTGATAAAAGGGCGTCTTTTATTGGGAGCTCTTAAGTTCCGCCATTTTCTTTCGACATTTATTTGCTCCTAATGAACTCATCCGAGATATCACGAAACAGTGCATTTTGTTATTTTTATTTCTCCTATTGTCATGGAATAAGTTATTTCATAAAATAATGTAGATAATCATAGAATAAAGAAAATTCCATTGGATCTGTCGATAGGGTTTGTATATTCGTTGAAATCGAAGCGGAACCCCAAATCTCTTTCGAAATATACCTGACTTCTACTCATTTCTTATTTTGGTTGAGTTTTGTCTATTTGGAAATTAAAGGAAATAATGACAAGATTGATCAAAATCCCACCATTGAACTCTGATAAAACAGGTCTCCAATTATGTGAATAAGAGTGGGAGAGAGACATATGTGAATTTATTAATAGAAAGTGATTATTGACTTGTATATGACTTTACGTAATAGTAGATATTTAAAGAACTCAAAAAATTACTTAAATAATTATCAAATATTAGATAAATCAACCTTTGGATATATCTATCCAAAATAGACACCACTGGCCAGCGCCCAGTTTTGTAGCGGATTGCTACCTTAGTAAAGCCTGACCGACTCAGAAATTTCTATGGCAGATTCTCCAACATCTAGCTGGACTCCCAGAATCAGCTAAGCTATAGCCCAGCTATAAAGGAAACAGACGTGTAGCACGGAGCATGTTTATTCAGTGAGTAAATTGCGGATCAAGTGTGTTCACGCAGGGAGCTACTCATGATCAGGATGGGGGGATTAGGTTAAACAAACAGAGGTTGTTGATTGGTCACTGTTTGTACGGTCGCTGCACAATCCTGACGATTAGACATGCAGGCATACGATGACGCACACAGCGATAACGTGTCCCACAGTTTATTTTGTTGAATATCACCTTGGTGGGACATTATATCAAGAATTTACTAGACTTTAATTTGACTAAAAGATTGGAAGATGAAATGGGCTTTCCATACGTACAAATATTACTACTTGAGTTGTAACTTGAAATAAAATTTTATAAAAATTCATCAGATGACGGACTATTTAAGTCGTAGATAAAAAGGAAAATTGTTTGATTTCACTGTAGTTAAAAGAGTTGGCAAATAACTCCAAGTTTGATTCCTTCTTGTGCTTGTTGTAGTAATTTTCAGTTTAACAGACTTTTACCAAGGCATGTCGATACATTTTGCGCACAATTGGAAAGCAAATCGCGTCATGTCAGTTCTTAAATTTTAATTAAGTTGCTTCAAGAGTTCATTGAATTAGCTCACAGTTTTTCATCTTAATATCTTGCTATTTGGAAGCATTAAGCAACATTGTCTCTATCTTGAGAAAGTGGTTTAGTTGAATTAATCATTACCGTGTTGAAGTGCTCCATTAATTGTTTATTTTAATAAGCACTACAAAATAACTTTGGCATGACATGAATAGGAGCCTCTCGACCAATCAACAGTGAAGGCCAGTAAGTGACTTTCCGACCGATAAGTGGGCAAAGTCATTGTGTGTTTGTCATGCCAGAAAGTGTTCATTATGACTAAGTCCCCCGTCTGCAAAATACACTAAAATTCGACACTCTCAATACACATCCTTAATAAACGTATTTTACTCTATACGTCTGTTTCCTCTATGGTTCTGCGGTAGCCGATCTAATTCTGGGTGCCTTTCTAAACCTAGGAGAACCTGTCATAGAGATTACTATGCACAAGTTAAGGTTTATAATTGCGACAATCCGCTACGCGTTGTACTCGGTACGCTCACAACTTTGCTTCCTCTCATGGCAATTTCATTTAATTTCAGATAACATTTCGTAATACTTTAGTTGCATCTAACGTTTAAAGGTACTGAAACAATAGGACACATTTTTATTCACCATTAGTGCTGTTCAGGGCAATTACAAAGATTTGACCAAGCTGAAACGCTTTTTATTCACGTCTACGCTAAACAGCTTTGCATTATCTATATGCTTCCCCATATAATTGCAAAAATGCAAGTAGAACTGCCTATATAAACTTTACTAGCTCAGTACATGGCGGCCATTCCTTTATGTTTTGGAAATATAGTGGAATGGAGTTACTATCCTCTCTGTTTTGCACATTGCGAGTCATATTAAAGCTAACTGTAAATTACTATCTCAAATCCTTTGATAATGGTTAAGTGCCAACCGCTAGGTCTAATCAACATATGGATTTTCGCAACTTACTACTAATGCTTGTTATTTTTGTTTTCAATTGGCATAATTCCTGCCGACAGGGCCCTTTGCAAACACTTAGAAGTCGTGAGTTTCCCGATTAATTTGATAATTATTAAAAACAGCGCTACATTTTGATGGTCTCACATATGGTGCGATAACAGACAAGAGAATGTGACCTAGAAACATCAGATAGAAAACTCGTAGTCACCTCCATTAGCACAATTTCCATCCAAGTTCACCTTAACTTCTCCCTAATTGGCATGTCTACTGGATAAGTGTATTGTTTCAAACCAGAGGAACTATTTCATTAATTGGTCTAAATAGGCATGGGGAAGTTTGTTGAAAATGCTTTCAGAGACAAAATTTTCCAACTATGCCTTGTTTCTTCCTCATTGCCGTATCTCAGTTGGTGTATGACATCTATTGGCAGATGTCCTAAGATCATTGAGAATATATTCTTTATAAATTAACTGCAAAACTCACGGTGTAGTGAGGTCTTAATGAGCAATTCTCTTGCCATTTAACTCAGTTAGATCTCACATCAAACGATTGTTAGCAAAAAAGTGATCTTTAGAATTTAGTGGGTACTTGGATGTGTCGAGTTATTGCTCATTGCTCAACTGAGCACTCTGCTTGGGTGCTCCATGATGACTGTACTCAAATGAGCGCCAAGGAACGCAATATGATTAATCTATCTATGTAGCAATTGATCGGTGATTCCTGCCTCTAACGTGGCTGTCCACCAAGGTAAGCCCTTAGCCGCAAAATTTTGATGGTCACACCCTAATCACCGTATGCTGAGAAATAGCCAGCTACATCTTAATCAAATTTAGAAGACGAAAAAGTTGATATATATAATAAGACTATCTTTAGGGGAAATATTTCACAGGTAATTAACAGATGCCTTGCAAACAGGAGGGAAAGGACTTTTAGGACTTTCTCTGTACCTTGAAATTGTGATAGTATACAAAATGAGTATAAACTTGCTAATTAACTTACAAAATGTTTGAAGAATTCAGAGAGTTCTTCTAAAAATCGGCAGAATACTGCTTAAGCTTGACTATTCAAAATTTTGCCCGATGTTGATATTTAAGCAAAAACCTCAAAGACTATTGAAGGGAGACACTTTTACCCCGAATAAAAATTATAGGCCATAGTATCTAAAGTCCATCTGATATGGCATGCTCTTTACTGAACCAGCAACTGCTGGAGGAGAACTGATGAAAATTGAACACAAAATTCAGAATTTATCGCATCTGCAAGTTGACACGACGCCAATACCTTATTGTTTTACACTTTCGTTCGATAATGCAAATTGCTTGATGTTATGTATCTCTCGAATATAGAAGGGGCATGTGCGATCACAACCCAGTCAACCCCCCCCCCCCCCCCCCCCCACGAAATTTTTGGTTTTGCTGATCAGTCGGGTGTAAATTATGAAAAATTAATGTCACAATCATATTGATCGTTCCTTGTAGGGGTTCAATATTGCCAGATATTAATTTTAAAATTAAAAACCTATAATCTCTTACCTAAACCGATGTCAATCCACAGATGTCTAAGGTCATTGGGTCACAAACTATCATCCGATAGTTAAGCAATCATAACGCGAAAGCTCAAAATAATTTATTTGTGAATACTGAAGCAATCATTTTACTTCTCATTCGGAAATTGCTTGGTAAAAAATTTGAAAGGAATTTCAGGCAAAATGGAGGTTGACTCGCTTATATAGTGAATCGTTCAAGTTCGGAAGCCATGTCACCCTCGGGGGCTTAGTTGCTTTGAGGCCAATGAGCTACCCCGTCAAATCCCTTGGAAAAGTCGGTTTCAACCATTACTAACCATAATATGACAACTGAATCAAATCACAATACGAAACAAGGACTAAATCGTTTCAAAATGGTCTCTCATCTTCTATGCTCTTGCTCTGCTTAAATTCCCCTGCACGAATACGTAAAATCAACAACAACCCCCCTCCCTTCCCACCCGGCAAATTTAATTCCTAATTGGACTCGAATTTTGCCCCCTTTATTCAGTTGCCTTTCCCCAATTTTAAGTCTTAGCTATATACTCTTTTGCATTGCTATGAACAATAATGTAAGATAATATTGCAGAGTATTTACAGTAAAATTGTACAACGAAATATAATATCAGTTTGGTTCATTTATGAGACTATTAGAATCGGGCTTGGCGAGAACTCCACGAGCAAATTGAACGTGCATTGGCTTCCCGTTGAGCACATAGCCGTGAGTAGCATTCAGAGCCTCAGTAGCTACCTCAATCGAGTCCAAAGCAATGAATGCTTGACCTATTTAAAGAAAAGCACAAAATCTACATCAAAATGCGCTATAATGCTCTGGGGTTAGAGTGGAGCAAAGGAGGGGGGGGGGGGGGGGGGGGG